CCCCCCCCCCCCCCGAATCGAAATCCTGGCTACGGGCCTGGCCGGCATGACTACATGGAGAACTATTACCTTCCAGACGGAGCGGTACTTATTGATCTACTCACTTTTGCATGTTTTTGAACTGCTGTGTTGGCAGCAGCTGGGGCTAACAGTGGGAGCTCACACCGCTCTCCAGAATTGAACTGCCAACCTTTTGGTCAGCAACTTCCACAGCTCAGCAGTTTAACCCACACCACCACCGGGGGCTGCTGCAGAAACATAGCTTTATCAAATCTCTTGCGGCTGAATTTTTCAAGCTCTCACATAGCATATTATCATAATGATATTTGTTGTCAACCCATAATTTCACTTGATTGTTTAGTGGTTAAAATTTGCCATTGCTTTGACACATAACTAACAAATGATTTCCATGTAATATCAAATAAGTCTTCTTTTTCTCATCTTTTGCTAGCATTAATTTATAGATTGTCTTCACTGATAGCTATATCTCTGATATATAACCAGTTCTTTATTAACAAATTCACAATTTTCCCCAAGTTTTGACTATTTTCAGTCTCACTGCACATAGCATAAATGATATGAGGTCTTTATTTGACACATCCTTATTCTCATGATAATGAGAAGTTCAGTTACATTTATATCGCATCTCATGTAGTTGTTTCAGGATCAATACTGTAACATACAAACAAAAGGGTGGAAAGAATTCAATTCATTTTCAGAATGAATGTCATCCAAGCAGGATCAAATCGAGAGTGACACCATGCAGTCCTAAATGTTCACGCATAGCAAAATCTCCAGTTCTAATGCCAGTCACGCCTCCACACGAGTTTGATTGAAGTTACTGCTGTTGCCCTTGGCAAGCTCTTTAAGAATCAAGATGTTATTGTTGAAATGGGGGATCTAATCTCCTTCCCATGTGTGAGTTTCTAAGAAATGTGTATTTCTTTATTTAAAAATGAAACTACAACTGCAAGAGGATAGAATCAGAACTGGGCCTCTATACAAGACATGGAGAGGTTGAACTCTTTCCCTTCATGCTGAACTCCTCATGAAATCTCATATAAGTGGATGTATAGGGTTGTGTTTTCAGGGTAAACCTTGAT